AAACTATACAGTTTACTGTTTTTTTTTTTTTTTTAAGAAATGTTTATTGAAACTTAAAATCTTATTTATGCATGCAGACAGTATTTCTTTTTTTAATAATTGAAAGATTATTAAAAAGATATTAACATACTTAATTATTGAATTAGAGAAATAGCATTGCATTAGCCATTATGTCAAATTAATATCCAGATTCAGTACTGATCATGATATGTTAATTAATTTGAAAAAAAATAGAAATTAAACATAAATATTTAGCTTGATGAGAAAAAAATTAGGGGGATTTACATGCATACCATTTTATTTCATGCTATTTATATATCTAACACCTAAAATTTTGATATTACATGCCTATGATCCATAAAACAAATATATGTGCATGAAATAAAATATTAAAATTTATAGGGTGTTACGGGTTGTAAGAATGAGATATAGGATTGATATATTTTATATCAAAATCTTATATGAGAGTTAAGAATGTAATATTAAGATTTTGATGCTAGATATGTAAATAATATTAAATAAAGTGGTATGTATGTAAATCCCTAAAAAATTTAATAGGAAACAAGCTTAAAACAAAGGAGTTGAATTAGGATTTGAAGCTCATACCACTTTCAACCTCCTTACGATATTTTGCCTTAATTATAGGGCTAAGACATTGCATTTTTAAATCGCTCACCAATGATTCAACTACATGAGGATTGAAGAGACCAATAAAAAATATGCTCATATATGAAAGGTGCACACTTTTTTTTTGTTGTTAAAACTCGCGGAAGGACCTACGCGTTAATACAAAAAAAGGGCTACAAGGTCCTTAAAAGGAACCACCGGCTCACTAATGTTCAAAATATTTACAAAATAAAACAAAATAAAACCTAGCAACCGGTGATTCCTTATACTAAAAATTACAAAAAAACCTAATAACATGCTAGGGCTGTAAGAAGACAACACCAAAAAAAGGAAGAGCAATGAAAACATTCAACACGAACTTCCTGCAACAAAAGAGGATCGAGCCATAGATAGCAAAATTAGCTTGAGCGTCTGAAGAATCAACAGAAATAAGCATCCACCCAACATACCTACAAACAAAAAACTGACAGACTAAAAGAGTTAGAATGCAGTTAAAAATACACAAAAAATGTCATTGACCTAGTCAAAAACAGTAATCAAGGAACCATCATAAATCTTATAATCAACAAAGGTCTGAACTTGCAAAAAACTCTTCAACAGGTCATGGAAGATAGGGGGAAAATACCTTAATAAGGGAGAATAGTTCAGGAAAATGCGCTCAAGCCCAATCATCAAATCGATTAAAAACTTATAATCATAGCCCCAAAAAACAGCCATAGTAACCATCCAGTTTTGACCCCAAAACCACCTCCACTTAGGATCAGTAGTATAAAACCTCCAGCATAAAGTAAAATAACCCTCCATCTTAGTAAAGAACTGAGAAAGTAAGCCCCAAACAACAACATGCTTAAAATTCCAATTATGCCCACAAACATACGACCAAGTAAAATCAAAGTAAATAAGACCAAACGCAACAAAAAGATTCAGATTTTCAATTTCATAAATGTTTAAGGCCCAAAAGAGTTTAACATAGTCATTATCCAATGAATGCCTGCACAGACAGAAATAATACAAATACCTCCACCGGATCCATCTCCATAACGAGAAAGTGTACCAGCTCAATAAGGAGAAAACCAGCCACTTCCACAGATATCACCACCTAAAGTATAAATATGAATCAGAAAGATGCCACCCAGACATACCCATAAACTTATCAACCATTACGAATATAAGGCAAACCAGCTTTATCCAAATTAATCATACCTTTCAACATTGGGTATAATCTCCGGATATCAAACTCCACGTAATTATTAAGATAACAGCCCTTATTAGCTAACCAATCCGCACACACATTAGCTTCACGATAAATGTGTGAAAAATAATAATTGACAGATGCAAGGAAAATCTTAATTTTCTTAATAAGATAAACGTTTTGAGGATTACCCGGCATAACATTGGTAAGAATCTGCACTAGAAGCATATCATCCACCTCAATCCACACAAAATTAGAACCCATCTTGATACAGATATCCAGGCCATAATATAAGGCCATAAGCTCAACCAAAATAACGTTGGACAACTGTAAAGAGCCAGCATAAGCATCAAGAACACACCCTAGATGATCACAAATAATGCCACCCGCACCAGCATAATTAGGCCCAACAGACCCATCCGAGTTCAGTTTTACATAAGGTGGTTTGGGTTTAATCCACTTAACAAACTTATCAATCGAATTCAGAGTCCCAAAACTTGTTGGAATGCCAAAAGCAGTAGCCATATCCAGACAGTTATAAAAGTTCTTAACAGAAATAAAATTGTAGGAATAAAATTGCAATATTTTATGCATGACATTCAAAATAATTTGAGAAGCATCCATTTTGATATCATTATACTTAGCCTCATTTCTAGCTTTACAAATATACCAAAAAATAAGAATAGGAATCAGATTAAAAATATGAACTTTAGAAGCATGCACCCAACTCTCTAAAATAGAAAAGACATTATTATGTTGAGTAACAAAACTTTTATTGGAAAGACTATTGAAATAAGACCAGACTTTATGGACAATATTACCATTCACAAAAAGATGATCAATCTTAGAGAATGATAAGATTGGTGGCCTCTTAATTGCTGTTCTTCATGGATTAAACTTGTGTGCTAGTCTTGATATTAAGAATATTATTATGGAGCTTAATCCTTATGTTGATTTAAATTCGCTGCTTAAGTTGGATGGTAGCAATTGCTATTTCTCCTTGTTTTACATTAGGAGGAGTATTGGGGAGATTTTGGCGTCACTTAACTGTTCTTTCTTGTCCATTCCTGATGTGGCCAATGGCTGTGCTTAGGCGTTGGCGATGATGGGTTGTAACTATGCCATTATTTCTTAGTTCTCTCTTAAGCAGCTGCCTGTCCTGATCCAAGGTTTGGTTAAATTAGATCAAGACGGTTTGCCTTATGTTAAATGATCTTCTTCTTGGTTGCTGGCTGTTCTGTTTATTTTGGTTGCTTCTTGTTTTGTAGTATTTTTGGGTGTTGGTGGTGTCATTTTGGTGGAATTTTTTTGCCTTTGGGTGTCGGTGGTGTCTTTCGGCTGTTCTAGATTTCCTGGGTGTATTCTTGTAGCTTCAATTGGAGTGTTCTCTTCATTTGGTTTTTTGTTAATGGGTTTGCTGTTAATGTTTGCTGCTCAAAGAGTTTTTAGGTTGTTCTTTTGGGGGTCTGCTTCTATAGCAGATGCTCTGTGCGCTCGGTTCTATTGCAGGTGTTATGTCTTGTTGTTGTGCGTCTTGGCTTGTTGGATTAACCTGGAGCATTGCGGGGTTTATCCCAAATGGCGATATCCTTTTTTGAGTTACTCTAAATTTTTAATTAGGATTTGTTTTGCCAGAATATTTGTTTCGTTTTTCTTGTCTATTTTTTATGGTTGTAGGCTCTTTTTTGGGTGATTGATTGGAAGATTTTGGTGGAGACCTGTTGCTGGGAGTTTTTTGGTAGTTTTTTGTTTACTCCCAATTTTTGGGTGCTTTTTCTTAAGCACCGTAGAATGTTATTATGTTTCATTGTATTGTTTTAGAGCGGGGAACTCGAGCTCGTATGTTTCTTTTTATCTTTTATTTGTAGCTCTTTGAGCGGTAGTGAGTTTGAGTTTCCCTTAAGAACTTTATATTTTTTTCCTGATATTAACGCGTAGGACCCTATGGTGGGTTTCCCCTAAAAAAAATAAAAAAAATAATAAAATAAAAAGATGAACAATACTCTCCACATTAGAACAGCACAAGCATTTGGAGGGAATATTAAAGCCTTTTTTCTGAAGCAAAACATCGACCGGAATATAACCTTTAAGAAATCTCCAAACAAGAATAGAGTAAGAAATCGGATAGTTCTTATGTCAAATAGCAGAAAAAATAAACGATTTTTCAACTTTGATTCTAAAAGTTTCCAAAAAAATTTTCAAAAAATTATATGAGTTACAATCTCTTTATATCCTTCTCTTAAACAAACTATATATCTCGAGCATTTCGTGAGACAAACAAGTAAGTGCAACTTAAAAGTTTAGAATAAGAGGTAAACTTATGTTTAAAAAAAAGATAATAATTAGGAAAGTACTTTAGACTAACAAATAAATATGTAATATTTTACTATTAAATAAATAATAAGCTATATTTAACTAATATTAATTAAATAATATATGAGCTAAGAATAAGCTTAATATAAAGCCTTCAATAAATTATTTGTTGAAAAACAAATAAGTTTATTATTTAACATCAATAAATAAATAAATTTTGATGTATTCAAATTTGATTCTTTACCCTACAAATTTTCAAAACAAAATTCAAATTATTCAATTATTAACTCGAATGAACTTGAACGATCATTAATCAAGTTGAGTACATTTGATGTGGAACATCTCAGCTAATACTTTTCCTTAGGACTAGTTTATCCAAGTTTGTTACCTATAGTTTCTAGAATGTTTTTATTAGTCTATAAATAAGCAAGTATTGTAAAAAGAAGATCATTGATGAAAATATATTCTCTTTGAAGCTATTTGAAGCTTAGTTCTTGTCTTTCTTCCTTGGATTGAGAATTACCTTCAATCAGTTTCGATTCTTCCGACGATCATCACATCAACATTCAAGCCATTCATAAAATGCCTTGGTTCACTTACACCTCAAGTATTTTACCCCAAAAATCCATCCTCTACATCAATATACTAATCTTTTGTTTCGTTTGGAACAACTTTCTTACTGTTTTTTAAAATAGTTTTTTAATAAAAAAATCTATTTAAAAAATAATAAGAAAGTTGTCCCAAATAAAACCTTATATAATACTATAAAGCATAAGCCACTGCTGGTCACCAACAAAAACTCTCATTAATTTTTATCAAAGGTTCAAAATTTATCCAAACTATTTTATAAGATAAAACAAGCAGCACATACAAATCGATCACAGCCTATTACATATTCAAATCCACATTACAAATTACTAGAGAATTCCTTCTCATCACATCCAACACAATATATATAGAGATCGATAATATTGATAGAATATTGATTCATGGTAGCATGGCATATTATACAGCTATAATATTAGATAAACGAGGTGCTGTGACGATAGTAGCATGGGTGGTTTTAAGAGAAGAATCTCCGGCCACCGGAGCCAGCTTCCCGTTGACAGTTGAAGTAAGCGGCGGCCACCGGAGAATCGAGATTGTAGGCCTGAGCGAAGGTTCTGGTATCGAAGTTTTCTCGTGAGTCTGGCTTGGAAACAGTGCTCCTTCTTTGCTGTTTTAAGAGTGCGATGACCATGCGATGGATTCCAGTCACTGGCTGAGGGCTCTCATATTTCACCAGCTCACGTCCTGCATGCATGCATGCATGAACATTATTAAGGAATAATTATGTGATCAAAATATAGAAATTAATGACTAATTAGACACCAAATGAGCTTTATTTGTTTAAAATAAATGAATAAATACAGGTGAAAAAGTTAAAAAAGTATCCCTCTGACTCAATACATGCATGCCATGAAAAGCATGCATGGATTAAAACTTTGTTTGAGATGTTTTTTTAATATTTATTAAAGTAGTTTTTTTAGTATACAATTAAATTTTTTATACTAAAGAACTGTTTTAAGAAATATTTAAAAAATTTGTGCCAAACGAAGCTTAAAGAAAATAAAAGGACATCATGTTAGAACTATAATATAGTGTTATTGTGTTTTATTATGAAAAATGAGTGTGAGTGTATTTTATAGTACAATAATAATTATTTTATAGTTATTGATACGGAATAAAAAATTACTTTGATTATGCACGAATCTCGAGGCATATTCAAATTGTAAATTTTCAAAATTAAATTTGGGATCATCTGAATTTCAATTTTAGCAAACTTGTAGTCCAACTGAACATCTCAAAGAGACGAACCCAACGATATCAAAATCGGTCCAACCCAAGCCCAAATGGGTCCAAATCGGGTGCTCGAACCACATTTGGAAGGATCAAAATATTATTTGGACGATAAAATGAAATCCAAATATAGCATGCTTACAGTCAAATCGAGCGGCTCGGCGAGACGAATCCAATGAGCTCAAGATTGCTGAATTCTGACATTCTTAAGGCACTTAAACAGTTAAAAAACTCTTTATGATCGGGGAAACAATACGAGTCATCCAATGGAGCACTCCAAACCTGCCTCGGATTTTCTATATATTTACGGGGTGCTATACTAATGAAAATCTATAAATAGACTATCACTATCTTCATGAAGGGGACCTATGGGTTAGAGATTGGAGAGGGCTCTAAGGCTTCAAGAGCTCCAGCATCACTGTCGGCGAACCCCCATCTACTGTCGTTGGATCATCGCTCAGCCGTCGATCACCATTGAATTTCCACCCAACCGCCACCAAAATTCAGCCTGACCATCGTCGGACCACCACCAGTCGGCCGACCGCTGCCAGTCTTCAGCCCGACCGCCGTCTGACCACCACTAGGCGGCCGACCGCCACCGAACTTCCTCCCAGATGTCGACCGTAGTCGGACTTTAGCCCGACCGTCATCGGACCACCACCCAGCTGTCGACCACCACTAGACTTCAGTCCAACAGTCGTAAGACCACCTCCCAGTCACCGATCACCTTCGAACTTCCACCCGGTCGCGGACCGTCACCGGATTTCTACTCGATGCTGGACTTCTGTCCCTCGTCGGACTTCTGCCCGTCATCGGACTTATGTCAGACTTATAACCCATGCCAAACTTTCACCTATCGCTGGATTTTTACCGAACACTAAACTTCTGCCTGTCGCCAAATTTATGCCCGACATCGGACTTCCACCCATCATCGCCAAACTTCCACTCATCATAGGATTTATATCTAACGTAGGACTTTTTCCCGTCACTTGACTTTTGCTTGTCGTTGACTTTTTATCGGACTTCTGCCCGAAGTTGAACTTCCTTCTATCACTGGACTTCCGACCCCTGTCGCCAGCCGACTATGGTCCCTCCAACCACAATCAATAGACTACGGTCCTTTCTACCTCCATCGCCCACCAACTATAGTCCTTCTGACCTCCTTCGCCGACTACGGTCCTTCCGACCTTCATCGCCAAACAACGATCTTTCCGACCTCCGTCACCCGCGGATAATGGTCCTGCTGACCAAACAAATATTTCAATACTAATTCTTCAATCCCCACTCTGTCATTATCTACATCAACCCAAGGCCTTCCCCCAAGGAAGGGCTTCATTTGTCATCAATTGCAAATAATAGTTGGATTCATTCAAACTGGGCCAAGCCCCTTGGTTTTCCCTCTTTTTAGTAATTTCTACGTAAAAATTTTGGTGTCTCTTATGAACGTTACACCCTCTCTATTATTTGCTTGTGTGTTTGATCTTCGTATAAAGTTAAGACACTATACTTTATATTTCTCTACCGCTACGAATATTCTAGGATGCAACAGTTATCATATAATAATATTAATACTTCATGTTACTCAAGGAATAATATATAATATTGATGATTATGCACTCGTTATAAAAACATACTTCATAATCAAGCTACAAATGCAATTTTTTTCCTGATAGAAGTTTAACTTAGTTTTGACCTATTGTTATTTGGATTCTTGTTATAGAAATAGAGTCCATGTTCTAAATAATATTTGATAATGTAAGAAAATTTTTCCAGAGTAGTACATATAGAAAAATCTAATTTTTTTGGGATGTTTAGGCCAATTAAGATAAACGTACTCACACACAACATATGCAAGTTTCAAAGCTAAGACCTCTTTGTTAATTTCCAGATCAAGGTAAGCTTAGGGGTGTCAAAAAGGGTCAACGGGGCGGGTTCGGGACTAAACGGGTTGACTATAACTTACTCAATTTTGCAAACGGGCTAGAAATTTCAACCCGAATCAGACCCGTTGGGTTACCAAGTTGAATCGACCCGACCTGTTAACATGGAATACCAAAATGAGATTAGGTGAGGTTTGCACAAATGCGAGCATAAGCAAGAAGAGGAAGGCGGGCGTGGTGGAAAGCAGGCCGGAGTGCGGTACTAGCATAGGAGCGGGCTAGCTAGGTTGGATTCGCGGGAGCAAGCGTGGGACTTAGTCTGGGCCGTATGGTAGTGGACGCAAGTCACGAGTGCGGGAGGGTGTGGTCAATATGTGAGGGTGGGTCCGGCTCCGACAACAGACGCAAGCGCAGGAGGGCAGGGGGGTCCTGCGTAGTTGCGAGTGAAGGAACTTTGCGAGCGATCATGACTTGTGAGTGTGGATTGACTGCAGTAGATCATGAGGGTGGCACATCTTCAGATTTTAGGTCAATTCAGGTCATCCTCAGGTTTTTGTGTCAACTAAAACGTGACCCAATTATTAAAATGGGTCAGAATCTCAAACCCAAACTTATCCCGTATGACAAATAGGTTGACCTGGACCAAGATTTTTTTAGATTGGGGTAAGGCCAATTTTTGGGTCGGGTTAAATTTTGACACCCCTACTTACGGTAAGCTGTGTCTGTAGAAATATCTAAATTGACATTTGATGACTTTTAAGATAAAAAAAAGTTTTATATTAAGCTATTAATTTATAACCATTTACTATAGGAAAATCCCTTATTATAGGAGAATTTTTCTGGTGAAAATTGCCCATTTTACAGTTGATTTGATATTTTCGGACGGGTTTTCTTGCAGATTGTTTTTTCACGGAAAAAGGCATGTAGAAAAATTAAAACCGCTGGAAATTTAAGGTGAAAAATTTTTCCAGCAATAAATTTGTTTACAAAAATTTTTTGGCTAAAAACTTCCGGAAAAAAATTAGGCCAGAAATATAAAAAAAAAAATAAAAAAGAAAATTTTTTTTGCCTCCAAATGTTACCCCCACCTGTGCTGCCTGCCCGTGGGAGGCATGCTGCCCGCCTACCCGCGCTGCCTACCCCTGCCTGCATGCCCGAAGCTCGTCTACCCACCCGCGCTACTTAAATATTTGAATAGTTAATTTAAATTAGTTTATATTATTAGTTTATTTCAAATAGTTCATTAGTTCATTTTTCTTTTTAAATTACAAATATATATATATGAGGATGTCAGAAATTTTTAAAATATGCCAGAAAAGCTGATGCAAAATTTGTCGGAAATATTTCCTTACAAATCCATCGGAAAATCTATAAGAAAATCAATTGGAAATATTTTATCGCAATCTGTCGGAAAGTCGCCAGAAATCCGCAGGCAAAATTGTCCGCCAGAAATCTGCTGGTAATTAGCAATTTTCCCTTAGTGATTGGATTAAAATATGTAGGCTTAATCCTAAAGAATATTTTATTAGTAACAATGGTGATGCCTTTTGAATTTGTATCAAATAAAATGAAAAATTAAAAATAAGTAGCATCTTTTATTAAAAAAAATATGCTAATAATTTTTTAGCCTTGTCCAGATCTAAAAGCGCGCTTCGCACGTCAACAATGTGGTATCAGAGCCCCAAGGTTTCTTTCTAGAGTTGAAGGAGAAGATGAAATATGCAAGGCAAGATTAGAGGCATAAGGTCATAATCAAAGAGCTGGCATCATCTATAATGAGGTATTTGCTCACATTGCCTGATAAAAAAAAACTATGCTAATCCTTACATTGATAGGTCAAAATAAGTAAAGAGTATATTAAATAGATGTAAAATTTACATTTTAGAATGAAAGCATCGAAGAAGAAATTTATACTCAATGGCCACCAAATTATATCAAAAGACAAGAAGATTATGTTATGGAGCTAAAGAATGCTCTCTATGGATTGAAGTAAATACCAAGGGCATAGAATAGCCGAATAAACAAGTAATTATAAGAGAAAGGCTTTCTCTAATGCCCCTACAAGTGTGCTCTTTATATTAAGAGTAATGATGAAAATGTTTTTATTATTTGTTTATTTGTCGATGATTTTACCGAAACAAATTCAAGCATGTTTGGAGAGTTTTAATAAGCAATTACTAAGGAGTTTGAGAAGCCTAATGTTGAACTCATTACTTATTACCTGGGCATTGAAGTCAAGAAGGCCATGCAAGAGAAATATTGAATATATTCGAGATGGATAATAACATACTCATAAACACTCCTATATAATGTGGATCCAAGCTATTAAAGTATGATGAAGGAGAAATAATTTATCCAATATATTTCTAGAGTTTAGCTTGGAGTTTGCACTACTTAATGTGCAGAAGGAATGAGATGTTATCAAGCTTATTTATTACTACATGGAGACTCTAACTTCTGCCCATGTAAAGATTGCTCAAGCAATTCTATGCTATATCAAAGGTACAATTATCTTTCTCTTGATCTATTCATTATCTAATGATTTCAAGCTTGTAAGATATATTAACAGTGATTGAGTTGGAGATATGGATAGTAAAAAGAGTATCGCTAAATTTGTATTCTTCACAAGAGACACTTCTTGCACCAGAATGTTAAATAAACATTCGATTGCAACCTTTTTCTACTTGCGAAGCAAAGTATGTGGCCGTAGCCTATCTATTTGTCATACAAGTTGGCTTAAAAATCTATAAAAATAAGAAGAAGAAGAAGCATGCAGCAGCAGCAGAGATTTATATTGATAACAAGTCTATAATAGCACTAAGCAAAAATCCATTTTTTTATAATAGAAATAAGCACATTAATACATGGTATCATTATATTCCAACATTACCTCTATGCATTTTGCATATATGGCGTTATATTAACTTTAAAAAAAAAAAAGAGAAGATAAGCTCCAAATATATATTTTTTCGCCAAACAAAGTCAGAAAATAAATAGTTATTCATAAATGTTTGAGTTTATAAATGAATTAATGAAATAAAAAATGATAGTACCCTTCTACTTTACAAATAGTGCGCGCAATATAATATGCAGTAACGGAATAAAAAAAAATAAAGTAGTTAATAAAATAATAATTTCCTACGTACCAAAGCTTGCATCTGTTGTTGCTGGGATATCCGTGACCATCCTACATAGTTCATCAAAGAGTTAACAGTGTATTTAAGCTGATAATTACATTTATGATTCAAGAAATGATAGTTTCTATTGATAATATTTACATTAATAGTAATTTACCCCCTCCCCTTACAAACATTAATTTTATTACAAATATATATACCCTAAGCTCTAAACAATGGTTAATATCTAACATTATAGGAAATTCAGCTGTTATCGGCGGTTAATGGGCCGCCGGTATCTACGGCGGTTTCGCCGGTGGCTAAGCCGCCGGTTATTACCGGCGGCCTACGGTGTCGTACCGGCGGTGTACCGACGCGTGCCGACGGTTTATCTAACGCATGCCGGCCGCTGTAACCGCTGGCAAGCCGTCGGTGAAGGGACTGCCGGTGAGCCATCGGTAAAATGACCGGCGGCGCAACGGTTGGAACACCGCCAATACAAAGCCCGGTAATAACCGGCGGTATAAGCCGCCGGAAGACCGTCGGCTAATGATGCAGCCATCAAAATGTTTCTACACCATTTTTTCCAGCGGCTTGAGAACCGCCGAAAAGCCGCGTGTGGTTTTCAAAACCACCTGTGTTACCATCAAAGCCGCCGGAAAAAACCACCGGTTTTGGGTGATTTTCCTTTAGTGTAAATAATGCTTACAATACAATTTGATAATAAAACCCTTCCAAATTAAACTATTGCTAAGACTATCTTTTTATTTTCTTTATATATATATATATATATATATATATATATATGAGAGAGAGAGAGGTTACTATTCTCTTAGAAGGCCAATAAAATTAGTTCTCTTCCAATATCTTATATTATTTATGCACTTTTTTAAAGGCCAGGTTGAGATTTAGATTTCATTTGAGATAGTTTTAAATTATTTTATTTTTTTTTTTGCTTTTAAGAGATTTGTACTAAAAAATAGTTTTATGAAGCAGTAAAAAAGTTGTCCCAATTAAACGAAATCTTAAATAAATACTTCATGTTTTCAAGAGATGAATCAAGAGAAAGAAAAAGAAAGAAAAATAAATTAAGCAAGTCTAGCCTTAGCTTCCTGTCCCTCTCAATGTTATGGTAATATCTATTACTCTTTATAATATTTAAATTCATTCTCACACCAACAATTATGATCTACAACATAACATTTTGAAGTAAAAAGCTTTGTAAACTTTAACCAAATTTAAATATTCATCATCAATCATGTAACATGATAAATAAAAACTCTTTTAGAAGTCTTATTAAATTTCTCATGCATGTTATACATCAACATACTACTAAAAAATACAATTTTTCGCATTTGTTAGGGTCGGTTTGAAAACCGCCGCCAAAACAAAATTTTCGCATCGGTTTTGACTGTTGGTACAACAACCCATTTATTTAATTCCAAAATCTTTCATTGATGTTCAATAATTGTTAAATATATTTGAAATCCATTCATATATACACTTGTGGAAGCTGAATTACCAGTTTATATGATCCATTTGGTTGGTAGAAGTCATAAAACATCTTCTAAAATGGTAGAACTTGCTAGTCTTATCATTTGGTGCATAGGAAAATAAGCTAATTACACCACAAATTATCTTAAACCTTATATCAAAAGCTTAATTTATTACCAGTGCAAATACTCTTTCAACGTTGGATTGCTAGGATTTGGCGCATCGAGATCAACCATTATCTGCAAATAAAAAAAAAAACATAGAACATAAAATATTTTCATCAAAATCACACAATAAAAGCCATTAATCTTCTTTTATCAAAAAGCTTTATTGCATATGAAGTATGCATAAAAAAACTAGAAAACAAAAAAATTTAAAAATGATTACCAGTGTGTAGAAAACACGCAGATCATCTCCTCCAACTTCAACTCTAGGACGATTCACAACATTCGAAGGCCTTAAATCACATCCATTAAAAACTGGCTTGTTGTTGAATGAAACATTTAACATCACCGACTGATCAAAAGAACCAAATACTTCTCCCAACACATTGCTGAACCTTGAAGAACTCCCTGCCATTTTTCACGAGTTGCAGAGAATAATTAAGTGAAGAAGAAGAAGAAGAAGGAATTAAAGAGCTAGGAGGCTTAGGAAGAAGAGAAGCTAGCTAGCCATGGATTATATACAAGTTATGTGCATGCAGGCATCTCTTATGCTGATTAGGACCATTAATATATTTTTTCTGTTATCACATATCGAATCATTTAAAGGAAGGCTTATCTTGTTGGAAAAATATCAGACCGCATACAAAGAATATAATAATTATTTATAAACCAAAGAATATAATAATTATTTATAATCCATGGATCTTTGCCTTTGATCCAACCTTCTCGATCCCTTTAGCTTTCTTTAAATCACATCTTAAATATCAAAGCCAAATCATAAAACAACACGTACGTAAAGATCCAGCAACTGTTCTTTAACTCTACATAAACAAAATGCTAAATCTTCATTAGTGATGCAAAAGAATAAAGTTACTCTGATATTCCAAATAATAATATTTTCTAGCTAGCTAACTTTCGAATTTTTATAGATCGCTAAAGTTAAATGAACTGCTGTCGCATGAGGAAAAATTCAGGCCCCGCCCCAACGCATTATTTGAAGCGAGGAGGAAGCATGCATGCTTTATAATACTTTGAAATTTCATTCTTTGGCAACTGTGGGAATCTTTCTTTTCACAGGTTTTTAATCTACATGTAATGATTTACCTTGTGGGTTTGTCTTGCAATTTTTTATTAGTTCATGGATGTGATAAAATATGTATTTTTTTACTCTTATATTCTAACTTGTAATCACTAGTAAACACTACACGTGATAGGGGGGCACTCTTGTTTATTATAACTAAGTACATGTACTTTATATAAATGTTCTCCTATTTGCATAGTTAATGTTTGTGGAAAAGAAAAGGAACTAATGTGCTCATGTATTTGCATGTGGCCAAGTAAAAAAATTTCAGTTTGAAAAGTAGGAATGCTCTTTTTTATTGGGATTGGAGAGAAATTAATTAACTCAGTAACTCTAGCTCTATCAAAATTTGAGATTAAAGATAATACTTTTTTTACCAATGTTTTTAAAACTACTACTAATTTTGACTTATAACAACAAGTTAAGCCCTGTGTCATGGATGGTACATTTTAGATGTTCTTTTTTGTTGTTGTTGAGAAAATTCATATAGGGCTTACGAGTTTTTTTTTTTTTTAGGGGAAACCCACCAACGGGCCTACGTGTTAATATAAGGGAAAATTACAAAGTCCTTAAAGGGATTTCTAACTCACTACCGCTCAAAGAGCTACAGTCAAAATAAAAAAGAAAACCTGAGAGTCCGAAATCCCTACTAAGAAAAATTACAAAGAAACCTAATAACATTCTAAGTTCCAAAAAAAAACACAATAAAGGAATCAAAAAGGCAGCCTAATCTCACAATCAGCACACGTACCCTGCACAAAACGAGCGCGCAGCTCCAAAAACCTGCAAAACAAGCAAACAAAGGTACTCGAAAAGAGATTAAGCTAACAATCATGAAGGAAAGGAAAAACAGGAAATCTAAATAATTAAAGGAGATACTCCCAGTATACCCAGGCAACCAGCCGCTGCCATCACAACCAAGAGGAAACCCAATCAGCACAAAACAAACCCCCTTCCAAAGACAGCCAGCAACAACCTCCCAATCCCCCAGATTCAAAATATCAACCCCCATCAGAAAAACCCCCACCACCATCAGCCAAAACAGGGAGTTAAACCCCAACTCCAGCTAACAAAGAAACCAACTTACGAGTTAATAATCAAAAGTAGTTACAATTAAGTCCTCAAAGAGATCGATAACTCACTAATGCTCAATGAGCTACAATCAAAAAAAAAAAAAAAAAAATCTAAGAGTTACAGATCTCTGGCTAATTACAAAGGAAACAAAGTAAAAGAAACCTTAAGAAGGTAGGCAAGAAGCCATACCCAAAAATAAACAGCCCAAACCTGAGATAGATGATACTCAAACCATAGAACAAGACAAACATAAAAGAGAGACTTTAATGAGCAAAGAATAAAAAATGATCTTGCATGCGACCGATATATAGCACAACATCAAAATAAACATTCAGCAAACAAAGTCTAGAGATACCCACAAGAGAAGTAAACAACGGGCAAACACAGAGAGTAGACAAGGGAAATGCACATGGACTACCCTTAGCAAATCAAAGGCCCAAAATAGAAGGTAACCCACGAAGAAGTCCAACCATGCACCAGAACAACGAAAAAACAATAGGAAAAAAAAAACAACAAATCCAGCAGACCCACACCCCATAAAAACAAAAATCACCAGATCAACAACCTTGACCTAGAACAACAGCCCTATAACCAAGTAAGTAGAACATCCACGCACAGAGAAACAAATGACAAGAGAAACCATGAGTCATCACAATCACCAAATCAAGCAGCAACAACCACACAATAAATACACAAAGGCAAATAGAATGCAAGAAACAACCATAAAATCCAAAACCCAAAAAAGAAACACGAGATTACTTTTTTATCAAATAAGGAAGATCCATCTTATCTCAATACACCTTACCCTTCAAATCATGAATACCATTGAAATTACAAAAGAATTCAGTACTAGTTAAATTACTACCCTTTTTAGCTAACCAATCAATATTGATATTGCCTTCTCCATAAATTTAAGTGACCAAAAAATCCATTTTGTTAAGAATGATAATGATATTCTTGAAAATTATAGAAAAGGTCAGCATTATTGCAATAATTGGAATTAATAAGATTAACCAAAAGAGAGGAGTCAATCTCAATCCAAATTTTAGATAAGTGATGCTCCATATAGAAATTGAGACCCATGAGCAATGTCAAAGCCTCTATAACAATCACCTTACAGGTAGGAAGGCAAGAAACAAAAGAAAAAAATCATGTTTCCTTGATGATCTCTTAGAATGCCACCACAACCAGCTTTCAAATTAGAAACACAACCATCCACATTTAACTTATGGTAATTAACATAAGGCTTCTTCCAATGCACAAGCTTAATTAATTCACCTCTTGTATGAATAACAAAATCAACATTGAAAAAGGAAGCCCAAGATTTGTTCCCCTTAGAATGCTCGGGAAGAAGCACATTAGTAGCAACCATTTGAGCCCAATAATAATTCTATCAGAATTCATATTGATATCACAATATTTGCTATTATTTGTTTCCCTTCAAAGTAACCAAACAATAATTATAGGAATCATAGTAATAATATGACTCGCAGGTCTATGGTGAAACCAATGTGCAAGAAGAGACAAACAATAAGAATTAACATAGTTCATATGAATACCTAAAGCCTTATCTAGAAAATACCACACATTGATGTCAATAGGACCATTAAAAAAAAAAAAAAAAGACTTAAAGTCTCCAAATGGTTGCAACTTTGGCATTTAAAAACAATGTAAACACCTTTTTTCATAAGCATAACATCCAATGCAAGGAACCTACCGATTAATAAGGCTCCAATAAAAATAGAGATGGAAGTAGGGATATCAGCATTCCAATTTTTTTAAAAAAACAGAATTGCTAGAAGATTTATGTCTTAAAATATTCCACACATCTTTGTTGTTAAATTCAACATCAACAAAATCATGTCTTTTACATACAATACAGGAAAATCATGTATTACCGACGGATTTCCCGGTAGAAAATTATTAATGTTCTGGCGAATTTCGAAAGTTTCCGGCATATTTCTGAAGAAAAAATTTTCGACTGTAAAATCTGCGTTAAAAAAATTTTTCTAAAAAAAAAATACCCCGAAAAATTTTTTCGACGAAAAAAACACTGTAAAAAAACCTTACCAGCTCGCCGACGCGACCCATCAGAGTTGACCCGTGCAATTTGATCTTCCAAGTTCTCACCGACCCGTTGACTTGACCAACCAACCTCCTGCCAACCCACGTGGACTGCCTTGCCAAGTTCCCGCCTGACCAAGCTCCCACCAAATCGTGTGGCTTGCCCTACTAAGTTCCCACTGGGCAAAATTTTGGGAAGGAGCTTGTAAGAAGTGAAATTTAGGAGAAGAAGCGTGATTGGAAAAGAATTTGAGAAGCAGCGTATACGCCTTTTTAATTAGCGCATTCAAAGAATGTGCTCAATGCATTGGCGCATTCTTAGAATGCTTATTATAGCATGACACATTCTTTGAATGCGCGGTAGCGGTTAGCGCATTTTGTGAACTTCCATTTATTGCGCCCTTTCTTTCGGCGTATTCCTGCTATACCCGTTTTTATGTAATCAGTGAAATGGCAGGCGGAATGTTGCCTCAAATTCGATGCTTTTTTGATGGTTTATTGCTCTCGAAATCAGCAGTTTATAATGAGTACGAATTTTTTTTTTCTTGGCATTAGGTGGCAGTTAAACCCGATTTTTTAAATGGAAGCCGAACACCCACCAATAGTTGTTATATTTTTACGTTTGAGGTTGGGAATGATAATATTGTTGTAATAGAGTAATTTTATTATGTTTAAGAAATGTAAAATTAAAATACAATTATTAAAACCCAATTTTTTTATAATGAATTAAAAAACTTGAGTACTATTTTTTAAAATAATTTGAAGTAAAAAATTGTGTTATTAAATTTTATTAAAATCTTTAAAAAAAATTTGAAGTAAAAAATTAATTTTTTTGAAAAATGCCAATTAGAAAAATAAAATAATTTTTAGGAAAAGATAATTTAATTTATATTTAATATTTTTGAAAAAAATAAAATTTTAAATAATTTATTTTTGGATAAATAACATTACTCGAAATATCTTATTTTCCATAAAATAAATAATTAGAGTAAATTAGGGTAATATTTATGTGAGCATATGAGAAAAAAAAAGTGTCAAATTATATAAATTAAAATTTCTTTAAAATAAAGTATAGTTAGAGTGAAATGTATAAAAATACTTAGCATCTTAATTAAATTTGATAGTTGAAATAGACTATTTTTTAAACAACCATACCTTAGCATCTTGTCAAGAAACATGTTTCTCTACCTTAGCATACTTGATACGTCCCACCGTGTTTGTTAGTTATTTGTTAAAATTAGAGGTATGAA